AAAGTTGTAGAGGAAGTTGTTGGCTGCCACTGGGAAAGAAAGGAAGACATTAGACGCTATCTTATAAAAGGAGCTGCATCTCTTTTGAGATTCATGCATAGAAATCAATTGGGTAGAGAGCAATTGCATGGGATGCTAACAAGGGTAGAGATGTTACCAGTCATCGTTCTAAGTCTTCACTGCCTCCAAGCTTACCATGGTCTGTACACGTTATTTTTTCTGGCTTTATTCTACATGCTGAGTGGACTGATCAAATTCAAAGAATAAACAGTCATTATTTATAAGGAGCTTTTGGCATGGACTCTTACATCACATAGGGTCATTCTTTGACCCCCCGCCCCCCCCATACACACAAAAAGCTACTTAAATCTAAGTATCTTTTGTTTATAGGAAGATTCTTATGAACAGCAAGCAGACTTTTAAAAACAGAAAAATTTCACTGTAGTCTGGATGGTTTGGGGCTTATACCATGAAATAATAAAGTCTGTATAATGTACTCTTAATTATGAGCTCATTTCTATGACTTTTTATTTCGCTCTGACTTCTTATTTTATATAAGATGATTAGTTATAGATTGATAATGAATGAAACACAGACTTACATGCCCACGGATTAAATATATCAGTCATTACATTTAATGGTGAGCCTAACAATGAGAGATGTGCTTCCCTTATGGTGTTTTGTTCGGGGTTAGTGTTAACTAGAATCCTGGGGAAATTTGGCAAGGAGAATACTACTGAATTAAAACTTTCCTGAGTCCTCTTAGTTCATTGAGCTTAGGAGCAAGAAAGAAAGCCAAATTTGTCAGTGTGGAGAGGTCTTAATAAAAGCAGCCTTTGCTGTTTATCATTTCCTGGCTGACAGTCCTCCAATTGCAGGCGCCCAGAGCCTTAACCGTGGCCCCCAGCTCACACGAGCACACTGTGAGCCAAGAGACTAGGCCGAGCAGCCTTCATCTGGCAAATGCAGTGGGGCAGAGGCAACAGCGAGCATTAAATGCATTTGCCATTGGGTAGGCAGCCTGAAGAGAGCTTTCATCAAGGTTTTAAAGGAGCTAGCAAAAAAAAAAAAAAAAAATCACAGCTCCTCACGGACTCCCTCTCTGAGGAGACACCATGAAAGAGACAAGGAGCCTCATTTGCAGTAATTAGAGGCGCAGTGTCATCTATACATAAATATTTTAGATTTCAGCCATGTAATGAGTTTGTCGTGAATATCAAGACTGAAGGAACGGGAGTGAATGGCTACACTGAATCCTGACACCAAGAAGATCTCGAAAGACAGTATAAGTGGTTTTGACAAGAAGATGGATTTCCAGGCCTTTTGAAAACCACATGAAATGAAGAAGAAAAAACCCATCCAAAGCATCACAATTTACAAGCCATCATATGTGATTAGAGACATAAATGCAGCAAAATAACATAGGTACAAACGTGGACACAGAGTCCAATCTAGGTCCAGGTGACACAGGGTTTCATTAGAGAGGAACTATCTATGATACCTTCTCTTCTCCCCATGGCTTTCCCTGTGGAAGTCTAAGAATTGTGACAAAGAAGCCTTTGCTTCTTTGGCTTTTTACGGAAATACAACTGAATTTGATTCAAGAGGTCAATTTTTATCTTCAAAGCTCTGAATAGGTTAGATTTGAGCTATCTCTCTAGGAAAGAATAATAATGAAACCACCAAAATTTTAGAAATTGTAAACTCATTGGGTACAGCTTTTCAGGCCCTGGAGACCTGATATTTTGAGGATTTTGAGTCAGGACAAAGAATGCCTGTGCTTGCACATAATTAAGAGTGCTTAGAATAACCTTACCTTCTAGGCCGACAAACAAAAGCATCATCAGCATCATATTAATTACTATTATTTGCATGTCTCTCAGAGCCCTGCATGGCAGTTTGCAAACCAGCATCCTTAACTTTGCTGCCACATAGACATTAAAACTTTCTGACCAAAAGCCCTATGGTTGTCACCATGGAGAAAAACCTGTAGTTTGGCAATATTGCTCAAGAAAAAATGTTTTACCTCTTCATTATCAGGTCAAGCAAATTTAGCATTTCAAGTGACCTTTACAGAAAACTATTTTAAATTGTGATAACTGCACTTTGGTTGTCTGGAAAAAAATCTGTAATGTGCAAGTAGAACATTTGAATGTTGCATATATCACCTTATATTGGAATTTAAATGTATTATCAATTCTAATATTAGGGGCTAATCAATTCTATGAGTGTGTTAAGTGGCATTATATGTTCATTGATTCTCTAGAATCTTCAGAAATTATTGGAAAACATGGAACAGGTTTTACCCTTGACCTAGTATGATAATAAGTTGAGGAGTTGTCCTAATACTTATAAATATTTAAAAATACAGCAACAATCCATTATCCACAATTCCAAGGTCTCAAAATTTCTGAAAACTGTAATAATTGACCTGGTGGCAAAATTTAAGCTAAGTTTCTGGCAGCACAACCTAACACAACCTAGCCTTGTTGACATAAGGATATTTACAATCTTTAATTTGTTCAATGTAAACATTAATAAATGTTTCTGTAGAAATATCGGTGTGCCCGATTACATAGTACTGCATTGGAATTCACATGTAATAATGTAAAGAATACTTACTGTTGTACCTTTAAAACCCAAAAAGTTCTGAATCCCGAAATGTGTTGGCCCCAAAGTTTTGTTGAGGAATTGTGGACTTCTTTAACCTGTGTGTTAGGCATGAATCATAGCCCAAGCTATGCTATGCAAAAACATTACTTTGGATGTTTCTTTTAAAACAGCTTAAAGTTGAATCTGAGATCCCCAAAGCACTAAGTCACGGCTGGAACACTCTCTCCAGTCTACGAAACCGAAGAAGACATACCGGGTGCCCACAGATCAGGACAAGGTCTTCTGATCTCCACTCCATCATGGTTGCCCCTTAGTTCTCCCTATGGTAACAAAGTCATCTCGATTTGCCTAGAACTTTCCTAGTTTTAACACTGAAAGTCCTGTATTCCATGAATTGCCCCAGATAACATGGGACAGTTGGTCACTCTAGCCCTTCCCCAAGCCTGCCAGGGTTTTGCTGACTCTACCTTTTTGCTTGGATCTTGCTCTTTTGAAGTACACCATGCAGTTTGGAGGTCCGTTGCTTCCTTGAGACACAGTAAGGAGTGGTTCCAATTTGGGGTGCTCACGGGATCCACAGATCTCTCCTTTCTTTCGTCTGTCTCCCCATCTCCTGATCCGCAAAAACATGCACTTTCTCTCAGCCCTCACCAAGACATCTCCCATTGTCTTTCAGTGGGCTTATGTTTACACAAACAACAGGAAGAGCACTAAATTGAGATGGCATCTGCTTTCTTCCCAGCAAAAATACCCGAGCATAGAAGCCAAAAAAGCCTACTTAAGGTTGAGGAAGGGGAATACAAAGAGAACAAGCCCAAATTAACACATTAATAAACTGCCCTGCCACACTTCATCTGTTTTACAGAGGCTCCCTTCTTCATTAAATCAATACGGTGAAGCCTTTAGAGGGAGCACCTTTGTTCTCATAAACCCTTTGTTTGGACAGCACGGCACAGGTTGTACTATCATCTTACACTTCTTCAATTGTTGTATGCTTTAAAACACTCTTTCATATACATTATCTCATAGTAGGACAAATATTATTATCCTCACATGTAGACAGAGAAAGAAATAAAGACCTGAAGAAGTGTAAATGATGTCGTCATCAGCACCCCTCAGTCAGTATTTTTTGGCAACTCCATGCAAACAGTTGTTAAGAGTCTCAAAAGCCAAATATTACCATCTTGATAGCTGCTTTGGTTTCCTAAATTCAGAGGTTTTTTCTTTTTTAAAGTCTTTTGAATGAGTCTCTAAGGATTGATATCCCCAAATAATATTTGCATTTGGCACTGTACAGTGGATACAAAAACAAAAACAAATAGTCAACAAAAAAGAATACTGCTCTTTTACACTTGTGAGGACAACAAAAGCTTAAATGCATCTAGACGCAAAAACATTTTCAACACACAGTTCATAGGAATGTCACCCAGATACAGTAACTGAGAGACAAATGGGATTATTTGCTCTGGAAGAAAGTGTATCGGTATTGTGATGGTGAGCCAGCCTCCTCCATTGCCACTTTGTTTCTTCCCAGCAGAATCACAAATTCATTTAGGTGCCTACTCCACCCCATGAACCTCAGGAGAAGCTGAGTTCCAGGAGTGGATGTAATTGGTCTAAAGCTAGCATTATCTCTTCTTTCCAAGAATTAGCCAGAAGTTCCATGTGACCCATTCTGGTCAATAGGATGGAAGAAAAGATTTGCTGGAAGTTTCTGGAAAAACTTTTACACACATAAGAGACAGATATAGTTTCCCTCTCCCAGCTGATGGGAGTGAAGATGCTGGTAACCTCAAGCCCTCCTGGTAGCTGTCCTAGATCCTGAGGGACCTGCCTGAGATGGTATTGATGGGAGGATAGAGAGGAAGAAGTTCCCAGGTTATTGATAAAATCACTGGACAACTGGGTCAGCCAATTCTGAATCCTGTCTTACCTCTGGACTTTCTTTTATGTAATCTAACACTTGTCCTAATTATTTGAGCCGGATAGAGTTTGGTTTTCTGTTCCTTGCTGCCAAAAGCATCCTAACTGACACAAAGAATTATTCCTCTTCCATGTTTGTCTTCCTTTCACAGATGAAGAAATAGGGACCCAGAGAAGTCACATAATGTATACCAAGGTCACACAACCATGATTAAATACCTTTTTTGTGTGTGAGATAGGGTTTCACTCTGTCACCCAGGTTGGAGTCCAGCAGTGCAATCTCAGCTCACTACAACCTCTGCCTCCCGGGCTCAAGTGATTCTTATGCCCCAGCTTCCTGAGTAGCTGGGACTGCAGGGGTGCACCACCACACCCAACTAATTTTTGTATTTTTTGTAGAGATGGATTTTGGTCATGTTGCCCTGGCTGGTCTCGAACTCCTGAGCTCAGGCAATCCACCCACTTCAGCTTCCCAAAGTGCTGGGATTACAGGTGTGAGCCACTGCACCCAGCCTGTTTAAATGCCAACTTTATAAAACTAAGATTAGTTGTAAAGGACATTTTAGAGATGGCTTTCAACATAAGTTGGGTAGCAGATTTATAACAAAGTTCTGGCTGAATTTAGAATAGTAATAAGCTGAGTAATAATACTCAACAGGGAATCTCGGATAACTTCAAGGCAACTTTTGGAGTCTTGAAGTTTCAATCTAGAAATTCCTTATCCTCTCAACATTATGTCTGCCAAGCCTACATACCAAGAAACCTGGTCCTGGGATGTTCTAGACAACAAGAAGTTCCATTTAACCACCTTCCTTTAAAGCCAAGGACCAGGCTTAGGAAGCCAGCTTCTTGCTTTCTCTCTTCAAGCCCCTACCTGGGTGCTTCTGGAGTATGAGAATCAAGGTACCCAGAAAAAAGAAACCAGAAACCCAAATTGGAGAGAATTTAGACCTTAAAATCTTCTGGGCTCAAAGATTTTCTCATTAGTATCTACCTTCTGATCATAAAGGTCCCAGAAAACTCAAAACATGTCTTGCAGATCTGAAGCCACCCCGCATCTCCAGTGTTAGAGTAGCTCAATCCCCTGTTGTTTTCTACGTTCCTCTCCTTTTCTTCTACTGTGTTTGCCCACACCTCCCACATCTCCACCATATCCAGCCTGGGAAAGGTGCAGCCATGGCTGGGTAGGGGAAGGAAAAGGAGGGGTGATGTGCTGTGCCGTCCCTGAAGCCTCAGCCCCAGAGTGGGGTATTCTTCTATCTCCTAATCCTTACATTTCTGCAGTGGTTCCTGTCTCTAAACTCTGCATGTCTCCCTCCACAGTGTTTCTTGATGACATGAGAGTTTTATCTGAGAAACATGAGAAAACTGGCCAGTAAGCCCCTCAACCCCAAACCACACCCACTTTGTGTCACAGCACAATTAGTACGAAGTCCCAGTGTTTGTGTCTGCAGGTTACAGTATTGTTTGCCACCTGCCTTTGGGAGAGGCAGACCTCCTTCAGAGTCTATCAGCGGCAACTTATTGTTTGTCTCTTCTATTTGAATATTTAATATGGATACATTGATAATTTTAATTTAAAATAACTTTCTGCATTACTTCACAACCTGTTTCTTTTTTTCAGTTTGTGGTAATATGTTGAGAATAGTATGTGATACCCATAGTGGGAGGGAGGAGTAGATTCCTTTTAAGGCAGTTAGAGGAACTCCTTGTTGTTCAGACCAGCACCAAGGCAAGAATCAGTGACAATTTTTCACTGGTAGTGCCCCAAACTTGCCCTGCAAAGCTTAAAAGGAGACACTCCTCTATGAGGTCCACTGCTTGAATCCAATGCATATGCTATGCTTAGTGGAGTGTGTTTAGAGCTCCTTCTTCCAACATGCCAAAAAAAAAGAAAAAAAAGATGCTCATGCTACTTCTTGCTTTCTGTCTATTTCTTTCTTGCCCTCAGGCTTAAAAGTAAGCATGATGGAGAACAAGAGAGAAGGCGTGCCCTGGCAACCATTGCCAGGAAACAGATTTCACTGAAGTCATAAATTAGAAAGATAACCCACTTATCGGAGGTGGGTTCATATGCAATGCTGAAAAATCTGCCAGTGTAGAGAATATTGCTACCTTTAGCTTCAGTTTTTTTTTAATCACTCATGTTTGATAATTATAAAGATGTTTAAAGAAGAAATCATGGTGTATAATACTATCACTGTGTAAGCTCTGCTAATACTTTTTCTCATGTAAATGTTTTCTTATGTAAAAATAATAAATATACATGATAAAGCAAAAATCAGACAGAAATATATAAAACAGAAAGTAAAAGTCTACTTAACATATGCTTCCTGCTTTCTTTAGTTCTTAAGCTTAAATTTGCTAAAGGAGCTTCCTACTTTCAAAAACTTCTTTATACACACATATATAAATGTGTGTTCTTTTTTATTATTTATGTAAAAGAGATAATGCTGCTCACTTTTTTGGTCTTATATCTTTATTTTTCACTTTTTGGAACTCCACATCAATATTTTAATTCTGCTCTATGACTACATCATATTTTATTGAACCAATCTGCTTTGCAAATGTATTGGTCGATACTGTTGTCAATGAATGATTAAAGTACTTTAACACATTAGAATTAAAATGAAGCTATGAAATCACCTCAATTACCATTTATGAATTTATTATCTCTACTTAGCAAGTGTTTATTGCACACCTAGTATATACCAGACATTTTCTTAGGTGCCAGGGATATAAGTAGGATAATCGTCTCTGAGTCAAAAGGGTCATAGCCTAGGTGGAGGGAGACAGCTCAGCAAATCAATAGTTACTGTCACTGCTGAGATATGAATAACAAAAGATGCTATAGCCACTGAGATTAGAAGCCCAGTGTAAACCTAAAGTGTTAATGACGAGAAAATTTAGAGCAAGCCACATGTGAGAAGGCTTGAAGACATGAAGTAGCACAATGTATTCATGGACGTGCAAGAATTTGGGGGTGGTCAGAGCACAAGTTTCGTGAGGGAATCCAGCCTAGGCAACAGAGCAAGAGCCCATCTCTAAGGTCCTTAAGCTAGAGACAGAGACTGGGGTCAAGGCCATACCACAAACTTTATCCCAAAAGCCATAGGGAGTCATTGAAGTTTTAAGTACTGTGGGGAGAAGGGAAATGGGAGTGACGTGATAATTTTTAAATAATTTAAGAAAAAAGCAAAAATTAAAGATGAAAACAGAGAAACATCTGGCTGCAAATTCACTCTCAGCATAAAGAAAGGAAATAAGAGCTAGATAAGAAAAATAAACAGGCTGCAGGTGCAGTGGCTTATGCCTGTAATCCCAGCATTTTGAGAGGCTGAGGTGGGAGGATCTCTGTAGTTCAAGACCAGCCTGGGCAACATGGTGACACTCTGTCTCTACAAAAATAAAAATTAAAAAAAAATAACTGAGCATGGTCGCTCAAGCCGCTAGTACTAGCTACTTAAGAGGCTGAGATGGGAGAATCACTTGAGCCCAGGAATTTGAGATTATAGTGAGCCGCGATTGCACCACTGCACTCCATCCTGGGTAACAGAATAATGAAAACCCATCTCTTAAAAAAATGAAGGAAGGAAGGAAGGAAGGAAGGACGGACGGACGGACAGAAGGAAGGAAGGAAGGAAGGAAGGAAGAAAGAAAGAGAGAGAGAGAGAGAGAAAGAAAGAAAGAAAGAAAGAAAGAAAGAAAGAAAGAAAGAAAGAAAGAAAGAAAGAAAGAAAGAAAGAAAGAAAGAGAAAGAAAGAAGGAAGAGAAGGAAGAAAAGGAAGGAAGGAGAGAGAAAAAAAGAAAGGAAAAAAGAAAGAGAAAAGAGAGAGGAAGGAAGGAAGGAAAAACAAAGAGAAAGGAAGGGGAAAAGAGAAAAGGAAGAGAAGGAAGGAAGGAAGGGGAAAAGAGGAAAGAAAAAGGAAGGAAACAACAACAGAAACAGATTTCAAATGAAAAGTGGGTATGACAGGATACTGAGAGTATGAGCAAGATAACAAATTACTGAAGGATAGTTAAGAAAGGTAAATGAAATTTTAGATACAGTATTCTAACTTAAATCATTCTAATGAATTTAATTCTCAATAAATATATTTCATAAAATCCATCAGGTAAGATGATCTTTGGCAAACAAAAACTAGGATCCTTCTGAGTGGTGCACTGGAGCCAGCTAAATTGGTCATGGTAGGAGTATTTATACCATAGAAATTGGCCAACACACAAATCAGTTTTGGTTTTGTTTTGTTTTCCCCCAGAGTGCCTGTTGTTAAACATTTGTCAGCACACTATTGATCCCTCCTTGAGTGAAGGAACTAGGAATCATTGAAAACATCCACAATTTCATTCCTTCCAGAGACACCAAACTGTTTCTATGCCTCCTCCCAATCCCCTCAAGTCCTAAAACCTATTTCATTGTCAAGATTATCAGCACATCCAAACATGTATCGTAAGTCACATCATTACATTTGCAAAGAGATAAAGAAATTTAAAAGCATAAGCAAATAAACAAAGACAGGTCCTATGACTCTTGTTGCCCAGCCCTGGTGAAGACCAAGAAGCTGATGACATGACTAGTGGCAACTCTCCATTTTAAGAGCCTGTTTCCCACAGGTGAGAGGGACCCATCACAGGCCTGCAGTGATTCCGATGACTCACAGGAAAGCAGTCCAGCTTGTTTGGCCAGTTCTTGGGTTATTGGACAGTCATCAATAGCTTTGAAGCTACTGAAGTCTCCTCTGGTGCCCTGAAGCTTCATTACTTCCGCGAAATTCAGAGAGAGGTATTTATTTTACTGTTACCACTTTGGTATCATTTATGTTTTCTCTTTCCAGAAATTTCTGTGCCAGAGCCAAAGTAATGGGACTGGATCTTTCTTTTTCTTTTCTTTTTTTTTTTTTTTAAGTGTTCGTGATCATGCAACAGATACACCCACAGCCAGTGAGTTTCAAAGCCAAAGGAAAACAACAGGCCTTTGATTAGGCTGTACCTACTCCAGTGCAGAAGGGCACTGCAGCAGCTGGGGGAGCCTGGCTGCACCACCTCTTTTCATTCTCCAGAGGTGGGTGGAAAAGAGTGTGTGGGTTGGAATTAAGGAATTGGGTTGACTAGCCCAAGGCTGGTTGGGAGCCTGCAGTTCAGGGAGAGATTATTGCTTTATTGGCTCTGGTTTAAAAAAAAAAAAAGTGACCATCTTACATCATCTCAGCAGGACTGAAAATTTCACATGATTATCAAAGTGCATGAAATACTAGACAGATCCCTGAATGTGAGTGGAAAGGGAAAGGAGGGGTTGGTGGAGCAGAGGTAGATGCCCACTTTCTCACCAAAATAGAACATCAGGACCTACTAATGGGTGCAGGAAAGTGAGTCAGATCTGGCCTTAAGGATGTATCCTGAATACCCACCAGCGCTCAGTTCCCTTATTGATATATCACTAGATACCAGCTATCATGACTTCTCTGCTCCTTTCCTGTCAATGACCGCCAAACCGAACCCTGCTCGGAAAAACTCTCTTTGCTTCAAGAGGGATTGTGTGGGCTTAGCTCAGGTTCATGGAAACACCTTGCTTGTTTCTTTCCTGCGGAGTGGATGGTGAAAGGAGTTGTTAGCACCAGTCAGCTTTTTCTTGTCAAGTAACTTCATTATTTCTAGGGCAGTCACATACCGTTGTTTGTCCCAGACAGAGGGGCTTCTGGGACACGAGACTTTTATTGCTAAAATCAGGAAAGTTCCTGGCAAACTGGGATAAGAAGTCGCCCTAATTGTCACAGTATCTGATGAGGTGCCAAATGAGTAAGGGAGACAGTCAACACTAATGAAGTTTGGAATTGGTAGCTGGGAGTTTTGTACAAAGCTGTGTATTTTACAATGCACTTTCACACACACTATCTCATTTTAATCTTATAACAAATTAAAGAAGGCAGAGGAGGTATTACTTTTGCTTCATGTTGAGGAAAAAATTGAGCCACAAAGATTAAGTAACTAGCTCAATGACACAGAGCTGGTTAATAACAAAACTCGGGTGTTGCTTCCAACTCTGTGGAGTGAGACAGGGAACGATTGATAGCTGGAGTCCAGTGTTCTTTCTGCTGTACCATGTTGTCTCTCTAGTTATAGGGAGAATAGAATTCCTTTTTCTCTCATTATTTGCCTTTGTTTTTTCTTGTTATGATGCTCTGTTGTAGAGTGACAATCTTGCAGTGAAGAATAATTCAATGGAAATTCAGAGCTGTGTCCCCAACCACCAACCATCAGGAAGTACAGATGCTCAGACATTTGCTGTGACTTCTTCCCAAAGGCAAGGTAACATGTCATTGCCAAGGATTACATTCAAATGACCTGTAATATGGTTTTCTGGTGGAGGGAAGAACTGAAGGTAATACTAGTTCATCAGAGAATGCTGAGTGGAGAATTGCAGTGGTAGGGAGATGAGAGAGCTGTGGATCTTAAGGCAAGATGACAGGCTCAGAAGTCAACAGCCTCAAGCAGAAGCATGCAGGGTTCCGGGATGAGAAACATGACTCAGCATTTATCCTTTCCTGTAAAACATAGCAACTTGTTAAGGCTGCATTTGAAATTTTACTCTAAGGCCAGTGATAATATCTAAATTACGGTCATGACATGCATAACTTGATATCAAGTAGAATAGAAATATTTCCTAAAATTAAAGAAATTACAACCAAACTCAAGCCTATCATTTCTGTATTCAACGACAGTCACAAAAGTATGAATATCTATGGGGAATTATAATGAATCTACAATTTCTCTGGCCAGTTCTATTTCTTTTAGAATGTCAAGCAGCATTTGATTTATGATAATGGCTCAGATTTTCAAGATTAAATTCATGTTGGTATACTGTCTTTTAAAGCATGAAAACCCATTTGCTACAGAATGATATAATCATGATCTGCAGTATAAATGAAAAGGCTTTATGCTGGCAAAAAAAAAAAAAAATCTCCGAAATGCAGTAGAGCGATATGGTATACTGGTATGTATGGGGTGAAGAAAAGAGCTAGGGTTTTGCAATCAAGCAGATTGAAGTTCAAATTCCAGTTGTGTTAGTGTGTGATGTCGGGTGTTAAGTCTCAATTTTTTTATCTGTAAAATGTACATCTTGTAGATTTGTTGTACTCTTAAAGTTGTGGCCTCATAGATTTGCCTCCTCAGCTTCCTCTGCCTTGTTGCTTCTGTGGACAGCACGTGGAACAGGGAACACAAGAAGGTTTCAAAAGATTTAAAATCATGGTTTTTAACACGGCTAAGATGTTATGTGGTAAACTTCCACCTATCATCACTATCTCTCCTATACCAGGAGTAAGCCATTATATTTGTTTTACAAAGTGCTATGATTACAGGCATAAGCTACCACACTCAGCCCCTCAGAATTCTTGAATATAAAAGTGTTCTGATTTATTTGACTACACAAATGACTGGAAAATCTCAGCATTTTAAACTTTTTTTGTATATTCTGTTTCTAACTGCAGTAAGATAAACATTACAGTTATGTATGTATACTTATATTTTTTTCCATGTTGGGATATTTTCTGATCTTTCTCTAAAAAGCCATATATGACAATTAGCAGTAAGATGGAAAAGATAAAAGCTATATTTGAGTTAAATTAGATAAAAAATAGATTGTTTTCTATTTAAGATTTCAAAATATTAATGACCTAAAACAAAACAAATTTTGCTATTGGTCAGTTTTACTCTGGTTGAAGTAATGCATCTTAGAAATAAAAGAAATCTTAAATAAGGAGCATCTTCTAAACGTTAGCCAGGGGAGAAAAAACAAAAAACAAAAACGATGAGGCTTATCTACCGTTAAAGACTGTTTGTATCCTCCCAAAATTAATCTGTTGAAGCCCTAACCCCCAGTGTGATGGTGTTTGCAGATGGAGCCTTTGGAAGATAATTCGGTTTAGATGAGGTCCTGAGAATACAGCCCTAATCCCATGATATTAGTGCCCCTAGGAGAAGAAACACTAATGAGTTTGCTCTCTCTATCCACCACGTAAGGACACAGCAAGAAGGCAGCCGTCTATAAGCCATGAAGAGAGCCCTCACCAGAAACAAACCATGCTGGCACCTTGATCTTGGACTTCTAGGCTCCAGAACCATGAGAAAATAAATTTCTGTTGTTTAAGCCACACAGTCTATGGTGTTTTGTTACAGTGGCTTGAGCAGATTAATCTGTTTACGAAAGGGAAGATGGACATACACGCTATGCTAGGAAGGAATGATAACTTATCGTTGAACCTAAATGTAGGGGATGTCCTGCCTAAAATTTTGACTATGCTTTTATTTGTGTGTAAGTATTTGTTTTTGTTTTGTTTTGTTTTGTTTTGTTTTTGCTCCTGGGTCAGTCTTGGGAGGGTAAATCACTACTGAAAGGAACATGGCTTCGTCCCCCAAAAAAAGGGTGAACATGTAGACCCTCTGGGAGTAATCAAGGCCTAATATTAAGGAAAGACAGGGAAAGGTCAGGAGGCCTTTACTTCTGTGAGTGTCTGGGACCCAAAAATCCAATCAAAGCCTGCTGCAGATTAGGACCTCAAAGTCAGTAGCTTCCTAGCCTCACTCTTGGTATTTACATCCCCAGGAAGAAAAGAGGGATGCTGGTTGGGAGTCCTCAAATGGTAGGCTACTAGGCCACTTGTAACATGGCACTCTTGAGACAACTGGTGCATTGGAGGATAGTTTGAAAGTAAACTCCAGTGAACCTGGAGCTCCTTGCCTAAGCTTGTATTTGAGAAAAAAAGAAAAAAAAAAAAAAAAAAGGCTTGTTCAAAAAATCCCAAATGGCAGAACCAGCTTCCTGAAAGACATGGTTCATCATTTCCATCCACCCCCAAGGACCTGGGCCAGAAATATTCCTCAGTGCCCTTTAGATCTTATGGAACAAGTTTTCTTCAGTGATACCACATGTTGGTGAGAAGCTATGGCAACAAATGTCTGATCTCTGCTTAGGTGTGGAAGTCACGCAAAGTCCTCTATTAACAAAACCCCACAGATTGAGTGGCTTAATCTGTGTTTGCCTTTAGGGTTCTTTGATATTGAAAGACAAAGGGTAGTCTCAAGAGTAAGAGACTGAACTTGATAATCTGGCATGTGGGTATTCAAGTTGATTTTTGAATTTAATTTAGAATAGAAAAGAAATGTGTATATCTCTGCAGTTGACAAATTTGATTAACTACAGGCATAACTGTAGCAGGGTGTGCATATTACTTGTCAGTAAGTGCCCTTGAAAGATTTAAAGGACCATGATCAGAAAGGGATCATGGTCCGTGTGTTTCTTTTCAAATGAATGAATGAATTTCTTTCCTGGCCGAGGTTGAGAGACTGCAGTGAGCTGTGAGCTATGAGCTATGATCGCACCACTGCACTCCAGCCTGAGTGACAGAGCAAGACCCTGTCTCAAAAAAGAAAAAAAAGGAGAATTTATTTCCCAAATGGTTAAGATGCTATTGAATATTAAAACTAAGTGAGACTGAAAGTGAGAAACTCATTTCTGTATTTGATCTTTTTAGCAATATTCTCTTAATTCGTCTCTCAAGCTACCTTCATTGGATAAATAGGAAAAACTAGTAAGATCTAACTCTGCAAAAGAATAGAGTTATAATTTTATTCACCATTTGTTAATCTCTATGAAAATGGAATATCTGGTGAGAACAAATATAGTCAGAGTAATATCCTGGTGAACAGATCAGGTATAAAATCTGGATTCTAATGAACCATATTAATGCACCCAATTAAGTATTTTAAGGTGAAAATCAATTATGCTTTCTGGTGTTGTCTTATTCCTTTCATGCTTCTATAACAAAATAGCTTAGGTGGAGTATTAAAAACAACAGCAGTTTGTTTCTCACAGTTCTGGAACTTGGAAGGCCAAGATCAAGGTACCAACAGATTTGGTGTCTGGCGAGGGTTGCTCTGCTTCAAAGACGGCACCTTCTTGCTGCATCCTCATATGGCAGAAGGGGGCAAATAGCTCCCTTCCACCTCTTTTATAAAGTCACTAATCCTATTCATGAGAGCTCCACCGCCATGACTTAATTATCCCCTAAGGGCCCCAACTCTTAATACTATTACATTGATGATTCAGTTTTAATACATGGATTTTGAGGGGACACATTTAGACTACAGCTACTATTAAATGTTTTGAGCTAAAATTAAATTTTTTCTTACCTTTATGAACACAGCAACACTTCCAGATTCTACAATAATTTCAAATGAAAAAGAGACTGGTTTCAGCCACAAGTGCTCTTAAGCTCTCATATGGTTTGGCTCTGTGTCCCCACTCAACTCTCATCTCGAGTTGTAATCCCCACGTGTCTAGAGAGGGACCTGTAATCCCCACGTGTTGAGGTAAGGAGGTGATTGGATCAATGGGGGTGATTTTCCCTATGCTGTTCTAGTGATAGTGAGTGAGTTCTCAAGAGATCTAATGGATCTGTAAGGGGCTCTTCCCACTTGGCTTTCTCTTCTCTCTCTTGTAGCTTTGTGAAGAAGGTGTCTGCTTCCCCTTCTGCCATGCTTGTAAGTTTCCCGGGGCCTCCCCCTAGTTATACAGAGTTTTGAGTCAATTAAACCTCTTTTCTTTATAAATTACCTAGTCTTGGGCAGTTCTTTATAGCACTGTGAAAACGGACTAATACATTCGCTTTATCTTGGCATCTCTTCACTTTCCTTCCACTCCACACCAAAATCCCACCCCATCTCCCAAAAATTTATTTAAAAAAGCTTTCCATACTTGAGGCTAGGTCCAGACTAGCCTGGGCAACAAAGTGAGACCTTATCTCTACAAACAAATAAACGTTAAAAAAACAAGTAGCTGGGCATGGTGGCATGTGCCTGTGGTACCAGGTACTTGATAGACTGAGGCAGGATTGCTTGAGCCCAGGAGGTTGAGGCTGCAGTGAGCTATGAGCTATGATTGCACCACTGCACTCCAACCTGGGCAACAGAATGAGATCCTGTCTCTTGGGGGGAAAAAAAAGCTTTTCTAGTGAACTCATTAGCATTAGTATTCTGGTAATATTCTTAAAGATCTGATTAAAAGAGAGTATATAAATTGTAATAATTATAATATGAAGAATCTTGCAAGACCAAAAAGTACACATTTCTTAAACCTCCAAAATCAATCTTCTTTCCCTAGGTTTTAAACCCATCATGTATTATGTAAAACAAAACAAAACAAAAAAACCTGAATCATATTTGAATAATAGGAAAATAAAATGGTGAGTTCTTGGTTGACTTTTTGATGTATAGGAAATATACTTGCACCCTGAAGAGTTGAAGCAATTTATTCTGTTATGCAAATGTGAAGGTTATGGGTAACTTATCTTGCCATGACAGAGTATTTTTTTAAGTTGTCAAAACTATTGTGGCCTTGACTATCCACAGACATTTAATGCATCTGCAGATTAACAGGTTAATAGTTCTCAATCTGCCACCTCTGTTCAAACACAAACTCTAGCTCTTGTCTAAGATTTATTAAATTGGCCAGTTTGTCTTTTCTTGTGAATTAGTTCATATTCACACATTGAAATCTCAGATTATATCTGTAGTTGACAAGGAAAACAGCAACATTGGGCTGTGCTGTTAAAAGGTAGATGACCTGTTAAAATAAGGAATAAGCAAAGAGATTTTAAAAAAAAGAGAGAGTGAAAGAAAGTTTCTGCTCTTTTTGAAATCCATGTTTTCTTAATATGATTCAGCCTTGTTTTGTGGCTGGTGAAGTGTTTTGCATTTATAAATTTGGGCTCAGTAACTGTTTAGCTCAGAAAAGCCAACTGTATGTCATTAATTGTTGGACTGTTTATAGCAGTCTCATTTCTAACTGGAAAAGGCCCCTGGAAAATGTTTTCAGAATCCAAAAAGACAAATTGTTAATGTAGAGCATTTAAAATAAAACATCATTTTCCAATATATCAATTGTTTTAAAGTATTTTCTA